CATTATTTGTGGATAATGAGAAGTTTGACAGTGTCTGACATGTTTCCTTTTTCCACTCAGGTTGAGCATGTGCTTAATGACATATTACTACAGAACAACGTGCAATGTGTAGGGGTTATGAACTTTAATATCTCCACTGATTACGGCAGTGCAAAGGTTGAGATCAACGGTGGCGGAGACATCTACACAGAACAACGGCCAGTGGAGGATGTCAGGAACTGCTGCTTGGAGCTATTTTCTCCGTTTTAGGCAAACCGATGAACGGCAAGGATAGGGGTGGCAATTCAGGTTGGCGGGTCGTGTTCGTGTCGTGTTGACCCACTTAGTTGACACGAATAGGTCTGACACGAACACGACCCGTTTATTAATCATGTCAAAATATAAAACCCGAACACGACCTGTATATTGGCGGGTTGACACGATACGACACAAATAACCCGTTTATTAAACATGTCATAAACGTGTTGTGTTAACCCGTTTATAAAATGGGTGATAAATGAGTCGTGTTAACCTATTTTTGAACCTGTTTATAAAATAGGTGATAAATGGGTCGTGTTAACCTATTTCTGAACCTATTTTTGACCTGTTAATAAAATGGGTAATAAATGGGTTATGTATTCGTGTTACCCAAATATGACACGTTTAATAAACGAGTTATGGCAGGTCAGTTGTTGGTAGGGCTGTTCATGGGTTGGGTTGGTGTGGGGTAGGGCTTTTTTTCCCCCGCCCCATAGGGTGCGGGTTACACATATTTAGCCCCAACGATATTAGAATTTTTTCACAACCCAACGATGTTCGGGTTGGGTTGGGGCGGTGCGGGGTGGGTTGGGTGGTCGGTTTCAACATTTAAAAAATTAAAGACTTAAAGTTCAATCTAACATTCAAAGTTCATAATAAAATAGAAATCGTAACCATTCTTATGAGTCTATCTAACATCAAACATGTAGCAAATCAGTCCATCCAACATCAAATATAAAGCAAACATAAATTAGTCTACACTCATAAATTAGTCTTAACATAAAGCAAACATAGATGCTTAATTCAAATTCATCTAAAGCAAGCATTGCAACAGCAACAATCCTTATCAGTCCACACCCATAGGCTCCTCAATGGTTGTAGTAGGACATGAAGTTGAGTTATCTACAAGAGAAAAGAAAATAGCTTAAGTAATAATTTGGATAGTTAGTTTAGACATGTGTTGTGTGGGTTGGGTTGTGGGTTGTTATGGGCCCAACCCACAACCCGCCCCAAACACTTCGGGCCAGAGGTATAATGGGCCGAAAATTAAAAAATAATGCTGCGGGTTGCTTTTTTCGGGTTGGGTTGGGGCGGTGCGGGGTGGGTTTGCAGGTTGTTCGGGTTTATGAACACCCCTAGTTGTGGGTTGACGGGTCAACCTAAAAATGACACGTTATTTAATTGTGTTTCACGGGTTTGACCTAATTTTGACTCGGACCTATTTATGATAAACCCAAACCCGTTAATTTCGTGCGGGTTTCGAGTCGTGTCGTCGTATCGCTATCCGAATTGCCAGCCCTAGGCAAGAAAATGTGTCCTCGGTCAATAGAACAAGATCTGGCTCAAACGGAATAAGATTTGGGTTGCAGCTTCACCACACGGGGTTATATTCGTCGAAGCAGGGAATCATTGCTGTAGATGATGGGAATGGACAAAGAAGAGAGAGCTGTCAGAGAAAGAGAGAAGAAAACGAATGAACGAGACAAAGAAACAGTAAAGCGCGTAGAGAATCTGAGAGAAAATAGCAGAGTTGTGCATAACTCTTTCACTGTAGCTCTAGGTTCGAGTTAATGGGAATTCAGTTGGTGGTTGAATTCCAATTCACGGGCATTAACTCGAATTGTGATTTGAATCACAATTCGAACGGGGTTCACTGAACAACAATTTAGGCGTGGACTCAACTTGAGTTGGGCTTACTCAAGTTGAGTCCACCAAACGAACACCTCCATAATAGTGGCTTATACGATTCTTGACCTTTTCTCTAAGATCAAGTGTAGTATATATTCTTATCAGTTTAATATAAAAATTATAAATTCAAAGAATGAATAGCTAGCACACTTGTATGTATGTAGGCCATGCATGCATATAGGTATAGGAATTAAAAATTATTAATGCCCCGTTCATTTAATCGATTAGAGTTTAGAATTTGAGTTTTGCTACAGTAAAAAGCTCTCTGAAACAATCACATCTAACTTTTTTGCTACAGTAAAAAAACTCTCATATAAAATCATATCTTAACTCGAATTAAAAACTCACATCAACGTGTCACGCCCCGGAACAGGGGTTAGTGACGTGGACGCTCGTTTATAAGTTAAACATGATTAAGGCAATAATTAAATATTTTGAGATATAATAATAAAAAATCAAAAGTAAAATATTATAGTAATTTTCAAACAAGCCCCACATTTTTAATGAATTTAGTTTACAAGAAAATGATGGGGACTTTCACACTTTTCTGATAAAACGGGTTTAAAACCAAGCCTCGGACATCATTCAGGGTCTCACCCACAAGATATACAATATTGTACATACATGAACATGTAAAGAACATTTACATACATCAACCATAGTCTAGATATTTAGAGTTTATAGTCTAAGAGTTTACAATTCTTACATTATGTGACAGTGATGGATACAATGTCCTTACTTGAACAGACGGTAGCAACTTAATTAGCTACTCTGCACTGCTTCTATCATCGCCTAGGAGGGGTTATATATATATATATATATAAACAAAAGTAAAACATCAGCCGAAAGTTCAGTAGGATGTATTTAAGAAAACTTTATAAATAAATAAATAAATGAATAAGTAAATGAATAAAGATATCCAGTTCCAATACAACAGTTGGAACCTAACATCCCTTTTTCTGAAAGAAAGTATAGACTTAAAGTTTCATATTACAGGCATCAACAAGTAATTTATACTATGATAAATTACTTACACAACCATAAGCACGCCTTAACACCACCGTAGTGGCCCGGTCCGGCTTCCGGGTTCTGCCCCCGAGGATACACTATGCATATCCTATTTATGCCATCAATGGGCTTACCAGTTCGCAATATATCTTATCTTAAGAAATCATTCATTAAAATTTTGAAACAGTTCATTGTGATTCCAATAGCTAAAATCAAGCTATTGTGTTAAAATACTTTTCTTTATCAAACACGTCCTTTTTTGAAAACATTTGTATAGGCCAAAACTCTTTAAAATAAACTATTAAAGAAAAGGACAAGGAATCCTACCTCTCAAATACCAAACATGTTGCTAGCATTGCATTATCCTAGCATCCGCTTCCTCAAAGCCCTCAATCTGATTCTTCAACTAGCATTTACACGAAACAACGTTTTAGGATTCAGTCCTCATTCCTAAAACGAATCAAGCTCAAATACATATTAATTTCCTATTAATGTGCCTTAATTCAATTTCAAGTTTCAAAATCAATACATGACTCAAATCATCATTCCAAGGATTTTGATCTCAAAACATGGATTAAAGATGTTAATCCATCTCCTTTAAGTTCCCAAATGAAGTTAATTTGGGTTCTCTTTGAAATTCGGGGTCAAAACAGTATTTTTAGGCAAAACAGGCTCGAACCGTGTGTGTACCGGTCGATCGGTGACAGAGAATCATCTCCACCGATCGGCGAGTGGAGAGGAGACCGGTTGACCGGTTGAGTTCCGCAGCTCATGGAAAAATGGCCGAACTGTGAAGAAAAACTCCAAAACCTGCAAATTCGAGTTCAATTTCGAGATATTTTGAAGGAAAACTACCAAATCCATGTTCCAATTACTAAATCAAGTCTAAAGAACCAAAGATCCCCAATTTCCATCATGATTTCAACCAAAATCCATCAAAATCCAATTCGAACTGAAAATAAGTTTTTCCAAAGGAAAAATCTAAGATTCAAGAGAAATTTTTTCAGAAATCTTACTTCAAATCCTTCCCTCGACGTTGAAAACTTCTTGAAGTTCCTCTTTGGTTCAAGATTCTTGAGAAATGGTGACAAATTTTGGAGAGAAAGAGAGAGAGAGCTACAAGAGGAAAAGAGAGCTGAGAGAGAGTGAGTGTCGTGGGAGAAAGAGAAAAGAGGGAAAGAAAAATAAATAAAGAAAAAAATAAAGGATAAATTTTAAAAGATATTTACAAAAGTAGACTAGAAAATGTGTCTTTACACATTTTTAAGGTGAAAATGTAAATACTTAAAATATTTAAATTCTTTAAAAATATTTAAACTTAGGCTTTGTTCAATTCGCAGATGCGAGTTTTCAATTCGAGCCGAGATGTGATATTTTATATTCTTGAGAAATGGTGACAAATTTTGGAGAGAAAGAGAGAGAGAGCTACGAGAGGAAAAGAGAGCTGAGAGAGAGTGAGTGTCGTGGGAGAAAGAGAAAAGAGGGAAAGAAAAATAAATAAAGAAAAAAATAAAGGATGAATTTTAAAAGATATTTACAAAAGTAGACTAGAAAATGTGTCTTCACACATTTTTAAGGTGAAAATGTAAATACTGAAAATATTTAAATTCTTTAAAAATATTTAAACTTAGGCTTTGTTCAATTCGCAGATTCGAGTTTTCAATTCGAGCCGAGATGTGATATTTTATGAGAGCTTTTCACTGTAGAAGAAAAATTTAGATGTGACATTTTCTGAGAGCTTTTTACTGTAGAAACCTAAAACTGAAAACTCGAATCGGTGAAATGAACGGGGCCTTAAATATTAAAAACATTTAATGAACATAATTAATTAAATAAATTAGATTATACACATTAATAAATTATAATTATTTTAATTAATTATATTTACTTTTTCGAAGTGTTACACAACGAAGTAAACGGGCGTGCACTACTTTTAGTTCAAGATTCCACTTTAGACCTAATTCCCTTCCGGTGCAAGTGCTTCACCGTGTGGCAAATGACGTGGACTTCGATTCAAGTTTAACACAAAATTGTCAGAATCAGACCATAATTGGAGATTGGAGAAGGAGGCCAAAAAGGTAATTCGATTCTTCATCTTGGTTTCCGGTGGTGTTCTTAAAAATACTATTTCAAATTGAAATTGACACAAACTCGAAAGTAAGAATAAGGAAATATAAATAAATAAATAAAGGAACCAAGTGCTTCTCCAGGTTACTTTTTTCTGGTTTGGTAGGCGACTTCTATCTTCCTCATTCCGGACCCTTATTTTGTTCTCTCTCTCTCTCTCTCACTCTGACTATTCTTCTTCCCTATATATATATATATAAATACTCGTAACTGTTTTGGAAGAATTTCCCGAGAAAATTTGAAGTTTCAATTTTCGATATCGGATTTGCGCCAATCGGAGCCTGGGAATCGGAGATTGGAGAATTAATTGTTTTGGAATACGAAAGGGGAAGAGAAATCTGGTTTCGGAATTCGATCCGTTTGGTCGCTGGGAAAACGTGATTGAGAAAACATGAATATGATGGATCCCGAGTTCATCAGGCTCGCCCAGGAGCAGATGAGTCGCATGTCGCCTGCCGACTTTGCTAAGATCCAACAACAGGTCTGAATTCTCCGTTTTTCTTGCTCAAGTTGTGTAATTTGTTTCGATTTTTCGGGAGTTGCTTGTTTGGAATTGCCCGTGATTTTTCGATTTTCTTTTCCATGTCGTCGATTGTTTTCCCTTGTGTTCGTAACTCTTAAATATGAAGCCTTTTTTCGGATTCAATTGTTTAGGTTTTAGTTTGTGAAATCTTGACAATGCTGATAAAGTCTGAGAATTTTGTATTTTGGTAAGTTTTAACACACTGCTTTTCTAGTTTATGCTTCCATATTGCCATTATGGTTATATGGCTTTTCGTTATACTGCAATTGTCACGGCCCCAAACTCAGGGCAGTGGCTTATGGGGTTTAAATGGAAGTTTTAATAAGTCAATTACCAAAATTTCTTGGTTATAAGTTCTGAAACACGGTTTCAGGTATAGAATTTGAGGGAAAATTTTCACATTATAAACAATGTGGAAAAAAGTAGGCACCTTTAGTTTTCAAATCCCTGAAAAAAGGAGCATGGCGAGGAATTTTCACATTATAAACAATGTGGAAAAAAGTAGGCACCTTTAGTTTTCAAATCCCTGAAAAAAGGAGCATGGCGAGGAACTTTCTCGTAACATCTGAGGGAAATAAGAGCATAGCATATGTTCGTGAAAATCTCCTTCGTGACAACAATTCGACAATATTTTTTTCTTTTATTGGACTTAAATGGTTTGTGTAATAGTTGTGATGGTCGCTGTGCCTAACTGGCAATTGCAGATGATGGCTAATCCAGAGTTAATGAGTATGGCTACCGAAAGCATGAAGAACTTGAGGCCTGAAGACCTTAGACATGCAGCAGAACAGTTGAAGCATACCCGTCCAGACGAGATGGCTGAGATTGGAGAAAAGATGGCTAACTCAACTCCTGAGGAGATAGCCACTATGCGTACCCGTCTTGATGCCCAGATTAATTATGAACTGAACAAAGCTCAAATGCTGAAGAAGCAGGTTTTTGTTTTTTATTTTTTAAGTTTTTATCCGATCAATCTTTTTGGTGAACCATTGAAATTCATTCCACGGTCAAAGCATGTTTAAAATTAGTCTTTTGGACAGGAGGAAATTAGTATTCTCAAGCAGTAATAGTATCCTACTAGCAAGTTCTGGACATATATTATTCATTCACTTTGTTCCCATTGAGTAGAGTAATCTGTACGGTCATTTATGTATTTGTTAATTTGCAGGGGAATGAGCTTCATAGCCAAGGAAAGTACAGTGATGCATTGCAGAAGTACTTGCTTGTGAGTGTTTTGTTTGTCTGTTTGACCTTTCTTTGTACTAAAAGAGAACTTCTTTCTTTAGATGAATGATGTCCCTGTTTTAGTAAGATTCTCATTTTCTATGTCTGAAATTTAGGCCAAAAATAACCTGAAAGGTATTCCATTGTCAAAGGGCCAAGCACTACAGATGGCATGCTCACTAAACTCAATGTCGTGCTATTTGAAAACAAAGCAGTATGATGAATGCATAAAAGAAGGTTCAGAGGTATGAAGAACTTCTCTCTTTTGTTTCCGTCATGCCATCTAATACATCAATTCTTATCCATATCCGAACATTCAAAGTTGCAGAAGTGGTTAAAATAACAAAATTTTAGCAATTAATGCTTTTGCCTATTTTTCTCTGCCTAACCTTGCTTCAAAGTGCTTATTTCCCCTAGTTTCGGCATTGCGTTTTTGTTTTTAAGGGTGTATATGCAAATATAAACAAATCATTTGTCAAATTTTCCCCAACTGAAATTGTGTGTCTTTATCTATGAAGGTGTTGGCATATGATGTGAAAAATTTGAAAGCACTTTACCGGAGAGGTCAAGCATATAAAGATTTAGGGCGATTAAAAGTAAGTTGCTTGTCTTCTGAGGGATGCTTAGCTTATGCATTTGCCTGCTGATGTTTCTGCGTTATCTGATGGTCATTCTTCCTGTCAGGATGCTGTTTCTGATCTTAGGAAGGCTCATGAAGTTTCTCCTGATGATGAGACAATTGCAGATGTCTTGAGGTATGACTTTTCTTCATTCCTATTTATTGTTGTTAAAGTTGATTCTGTACGCACCCTTTTTCTTATATACGTTGAATATATGCATTAAATGACCATTAAGGATTCCATTGAGCAGTAAGCCTCTGCAGGCTCTCTCTCTCTTTCTCCCTCTAGCCTGCTACTATACTTCTCATAGACCCTTGACTTGGTTGTATGAATTCATCCAAGCTGGTACGATCATGTCACTCTATTAGATGACTTGTGGCAGCGTCTCTAGTTCAATGAAAAAATATAAGTGTCGTCTATAATCAAAGAGAAAAATAATGTCTTCTGATTGATTCTCCTGGAAGTGTACGTTGTAATTTTTTACACTTGGGAAAATAGATTTCATTTTCTCTGGGACTATTTTATTACTTTCGTAACTATCAATACATGCCTTGATATTTGGAATTAAGATTACTAATAATGTTAGAAAGACAGTTATGGCACATCAGCAGTGCTTGTTTGTTTCAATTTTTTAATTGGCCCCTATTGTTCTAACAGGGATGCCGAGGAAAGATTAGTTAAGGAGGGTGGTGAACCTGCACCAAGAGGTATGTTTTATATTTATTTTTTGTCAGTTCATTCACTTTTCATGAGGCATATGAGACTTCCATGCTAGACTTTATAATACCTTTCGTATTTTTGAAAATTTTGACTGTTAATAGGTTTAGTAATTGAAGAGATAATTGAGGAAGAAGAAGAGACTGTGTCTTCAAGCAACTACAAAGGCTCATCTTCACAGTATTCAGTGACACAATCACAGGAAATTAATGATTCCTTTAAGACTGGAAGAGTTTCTAGCAATGATGGCTTGTCATCCAACTTAGACCATGTGCAAGCTTTAAGAAATAATCCTGAAGCTATGAGGTTTGTATTTTTCACTGGAACTTAAAAAAAAAACAAGAAACAGAGAATTGAAAGAAGAAAGGAAAACAAAAAGGTACTATCAAGGAAGGACAATGAGTCCTCGCAATTTGCAAACGGCGCAAAAAGTATAGAAGGAAAAAACTGGTGGTCATATAAGCACCAGACCAAAACCAGCCAAACCTAAAGAACTATACAGACTGTCAGACTATACTAAGCTTGACTCACTGAAACCTATTAATATAATTAGATAGTGGAGAAATCTAGATTTTATGACCTTGGAGCATTTATAGTAAATTAGTAATATTTCATTATATTTCGATATTTACCTTGTTTAAGGTTCTTTACGTTTTATTTCATTTCTGTTATTTTTATACAATCTTGGCTGTGAAAGTATTTGAAAGTTAACTGTCAACTTTAAAAATATTTATAAGGGGAATTAATTTGTGAATGGCAAATTGATTCATCTTTAGTAAAAATTTTTCTAGGAGTTACATGAAAGTAGAATGAACTTCATTTCATAGTGTCCGAGAGAGGGAATGCTCAAATTGTGCTAATTTTTGGCAGTCTAGTAATTTGATTCAACTTTCAAGGTGTTAATTCAAGCTTTATTTGGAGCTTGTTCAGCAAAATAAAATGTCAGAAAGAGCAGAAGTTGGATGAAAATAAACTACTTGCTACATTTCTTTTAATGTTGTACCTGAGTTTGCACTGCGTACTTATTCTGATATGCTATGAGGCTGCTCTCTTACTTTTAGGTCTCTTTGTGCAAACTTTCTGATAGCTGAACCAAAAATTTCAAATATGATGTTCAGTTTTCACATTGGAAAACGTTTTTTTTTTTTGGGTGCTAATTTTGCTTGTAAAGATTTTCATCCTCCATTTATTGTAATGTTTCTCTTCTATTTTGTTCAGTCTCAGAGTTGTACCAAGTAAGTTACCTTTGTGTATGTGGCTTATTTACAGATCATTCCAGAATTTCATTGCAAATGCTGATCCTGAAACTCTAGCTGCTTTGAATCCTGGAAGTTCTGGAGAGGTATCTGCGGACATGTTCAGGACTGCGTCAAACATGATTGACAAAATGTCACCTGAAGAACTTCAAAGAATGTTCCAATTGGCCTCCTCATTTCAGGGAGATAACCAAAGTTCTAAGGGAGGCCCCCTTGGCGCTAATTCTGATAGTTTCAGACCTGGGTCAGTTCCTTCAAATTTGTCACCTGACATGCTTAAAACCGCAAGTGACATGATGAGCAAAATGTCACCGGAGGAACTTCAGAAGATGTTTGAAATGGCATCTCAGTTGAGGGGAAAAGACTCATCTTCAATGCCGACTGCTTTTAATACATATGGACCAAGTTCGAATATTGGGTCAAGATATTCAGGTGGTGGGGAGAGTTCTGTTGTTAATGAAACTAACATGGGTAGTGAAACTAGTTCTCGGGCTTCATTTGCAAATTCAAGAAGTGTTGCGCCTCCATCAAGCTTCCCCTCCTCAACTGCTGATATGCAAGAACAGATGAGGAACCAAATGAAAGATCCAGCAACGCGGCAGGTTTGTCACTTGTCTTTTACTTTACCTACCCTCGTATTTGTTGAATACATCTTATGCTTCTATTATCAACATTACGACGAACATCTCCAATCAATTATATGCCCCTGGTAACATGGCTATTTAAAATAGTCCATTTAGCTTTGCTTTATTCCTTGGGAGCTGAAATTATAATAGGTCTTTGCTGTTTCTTACTTTCTTTCTTGCCAAGTGGTTGAGGCGAGACTTGAGTAAACTATGTTTCGAATTCTGCTGTTACCAACTTACCATGGAAAACCCAAGAATTATATTATCTTTCCAACACAAACATTTGAAGTTTTGGTTAATTGTGGTCTTGCAGATGTTCACATCAATGATAAAGAATATGAACCCAGAAATGATGGCAAACATGGGCGAACAATTTGGTTTTAAGCTTTCTCGAGAAGATGCTGCGAAAGCTCAAGAAGCAATGTCATCTTTCTCACCGGAAGACTTGGATAAAATGGTACCTTCTTACCCTATTTTGGCTTTGTGATTCAACTATTGAACTTTTTATTCAGTACTCTCTTTTTCTTACAAGGGAAGTCTCAATTAGCAAGATTGTCAATATCATATAGATTGGAAATCCATTATATTCATTCAATATTGGATAGGTTTATAATCGACATTGCCTTTTGGATTCAGTTTGATAAGGAATTTAGCGGCCTTCTAGTTTCTGACATTATTAGGGATTGGTCTTCTTTTCTATAGGCTTTCGGTTTTCTTTGAGTTTTTTGTTTTCTCCGTTCTTTAATTTTTCTCTCATTCTATAAATTCTCTCTTGTTTCTTTGTCGAGAAAAAAAAAAAAAGAGTAGTCCACTATATTCATATTGGAACTTTATGTACTAGTGTAGTGATCTATGTCAGCGTGCTGTTCTGGATTGGCTTATAGAATTTGTCACGTACATGTCAAAAAACTACTCTTTTTAAGAATAATCACGTCAAGATAGCTTTAATTTTATTTCTTAGGTTAACTTGCACTTTAATCATTCAGCTTGATGTTGTTCTATTGCTAGTTCTTGAGAGGTCACGAGGTCCTGATCCAGTTCATTTAAACTTTTATCAATTTCTTGTATCATCAAGCTGATGGGGCCTTTTGAAAAGTTTCTGGAGTTAGCTGTTGTTCAGAGAGTATCAGCTTGGGTTTTATAAATATTTCCTTGTCATAACACACAGGATTCTCAATGTTATAATTAACCAAGTTAATCCTGCGGATGGTTTATCATATTTTGCCTGCTGTATATAGAAAAGCTACCCTGCTTCAGTTTTTTCCTTAAAGTTTTTGGGAACTTGAAAGTTTATGTTCTTAACTTTTCGCTTCAGATGCGGTGGGCAGATAGGATACAAAGGGGAGCAGAAGGCATAAAGAAGACGAAGAATTGGCTCCTAGGTAGACCTGGTATGATTTTGGCAATATGCATGCTTATTCTAGCGATGATCCTTCACCGGCTCGGCTACATCGGCATCTAGAATTGGACCCATTTTTGTTTATTCTTTAATTCCCAGCTTGTTACACCTATAGATGAGTGGATTCAGAAATTAAAATAACCTTTCAGTCATATCTTTAAGGTGATTTGGTGTTAATCGAAGTTAAAAGTAGAGGAGGGGGGAGGGGGGGGGGTTTTTTTTTTTTTTTTTTTTTTTTTTTTTTGGGTGAAGCCGGTGCCAGTGACTTCTTTTTTGTCTAGTTACTAGTCAAAAAATGATTTAATTTGTCGGGATTCTTTGTGCTGTAAGTAAGAATTATTTAACTGCTAGAGACTAAATTTCCAAGAAGAGGATCTCACAAGAGAGATCTAATCGTCGTTGATTTGTTGCAAAGATGAATTTCTTCTCAAGGCTTGCATATTAGTGCTTGGGACAGGTTAAGTGCACAGTTTTGAACTATATCATGTTAGAGTAATTACGATCATGTTTGGAGTTGATTTTGTTTTTGTTTTTTACGTTTTTTGATAAAGAAAAAATAAAAATGGAAGAGAAACAGCGTTTGTCACAATTAAAGACAAAAAACAAAAATGAAAACGATTTTTTGACTTAGTGTAAAATGTGAGAGAAATGAAAAATGATTTTTAGTCGTTTTTCATTTTTTGTTTCCGTTTTCTTTTCTCTTGAGCACACAGAGAGATAGATATTAATGTATTTTTTTATATTGAAAACAATCTCTTGATAAAATTATCAAACGCATTTTTAAAAATGATTTTTATCTAAAATTAAAAATATTTTCATTTTCATTTATATACAAAAAAATAAAATTATTTTAAAGCGAGTTTTAAACGCACCTTATATCATAAACTATTTCGGTTATGGGTATTCTTTGGTAGAGACTACTCGGGTAATTAGAACCAAACCATTCTTTCCTCCACTCAATTTCATATTTTCCATTTCTTGTTGAAATCTTCAACTATCTTTTCCTTAATTCGAATATAGGAATAATTTTATTCGTACATTATGATCAAGTGTCCCAAAAGTGAAATTCCAATTCAAAATCAAGCACCAGCGAATCCTCTTTTGGCGTTCTCTAAATGCCAAAAAGCCTAAAAGTTTTAGTTTAATGAACCTTTTATTAACAAATGTATGTGATGTAGCGGCAAAAGCGTACTATAAAATTCAGTCTGTTGATTCGCATAGAACAACAGAAAAATGAGGGTGGGAGTATTTTCGTCGATTCAAAGAATACCGAAAAACAAATAAAGGGGGATAATAATCTCTGAAATTTTACTGATCAATCAACTAAAAAATAAATGTAGAACTAATTCTCTTTAAATAGAGAATTTTGAAAATGAAATTAAAAGAATCTTGTCCTATCTAAAATTGAAATTGAAATTTGAAAGCACAGATTTATCCTCCAAAAGTATAGTAGGGTATAGAAAAAAATAGAGAATTTACCTTTGAGAGTGTATGAATTTAGACTTTTATCACGTACTCTTGATAAATATCTTTTTGTTAGTGTAATTGTTTGACTTAAAAGGTAATGAATCAAGAGTAAAAGGTAAAAATTCTTATCCATGCACTTTTAAAGGGTATAGTGTTCAAGAATTTTATCCTTTACTCTTGACTAAATACCATTTTGATTAATTTAATTATTTGACTAAATGATATTAATCAAGAGTAAAAGATAAAAATTTAAAACTCGTGCACTATTTTAGTTGATGTGACGTTTGGCTCGTCAATTCTCAATTAATAAATACTAATTGAATATTATAAAGAGTTCTTATGGCCGCAAATGAAGCTTAGGGATGCATAAAAATTAAAGATGCTCGAAAGGGGGCCAAAAATTAATAGACCGGTCAATGGAGCAGGTGAAAGAACATTTGCAGATAACGATTTATTTTTGTCCAAAAACGTTTGGCACTTCGCAGTTGAATCGATGTTAACAAAACCACATCAAATTTTCTCTTCCAAGATTATCTAACAGTTTATCCACTAATTAATGCACTGTGATACGAAATTACAAAAAAAAAAAAAAAGGAAAAAAGAGAGTTTGATATGTTTAATTCATTTACCCTAAAAAGAATATGTATTTAATTCATAACCCTCCAAGAAAAGAAAAGGATAAAATGGAAGCAATTCAGGTCCCGTTTCTTTAACATTTAAGTCCCGTTTTTTTTTTGCTGATTCGAGTTTAGAATTCGAATTTTATTACAGTGAAAAGCTTTCAAAAACAGTAACATCTAACTTTTTTACTACAGTAAAAAAGTCTCACACAATATCACATTTCAATTCGAATTAAAAACTCAAATTAACGAACCGAACAGACCCTGCGTGTGTGTTCGTAAAGAGATAATTTTTGAATTGACGAATCTTTAGGCAACTTCTTTTGTTCTTTGTTTTTTTCCCCAATTAATGTGGTAAATTCCTAACGAGCAATAATCTTTTTTTATTATTCTGACTAACCTGATTCTTTTTTTTTAAGGACAATCTAGATCTTGTCGTGTGATTAAAAAGAAAGGAATCTTTTTTTCTCTCACTATTTCCTGACTATGATAAAAGAGTGCATATTTGCTCCATTATAGATTTTGGTCGTCCATACCGCACCGAATTGGTGCTACTTTTTTTTTATTAATTATAAAAATTTCTCATAAATTATATCTCTTATAACATTTTATTCTAGCATCTTTAAAATATAACATTCGTTTTTCTTAAATAATAAAATATTAATAAAAACCTCATCAGTTAGATTTTTAATTAAAATTAACATTTAATTTATTATTTTGAGATGTTTTAATAATTTTATGGTTTAAAATTTAATTTGAATTTAAACTAATTTAAATATTAAAAAAACTTTGTAAATTTTTTTATTTTACCAAAAAAAAAAGAGATTTATAATAATTTTTACTTACATTCAACTAAATAATGGATGTATCATAATTAAAAGTTCAAATTTAAATTAGTTTTAATGTCAAACTAAATGTTAAACCATAGAGATACTTAAATATCCAAAATAATTATTCAGGAAAAACGGATGTTACGTTTTAAAGATTAAGAGGTAAAGTGTTACAGAGGGAGAGTTTTGTAATTAATTTTTTTTTTCTTTTTTAGCTTTCTCTTTTCTTTGCTTACTTTTTTTCCGTTTCTTTTAGATCTTTTTTTTTTTTTTTTTTTTTTTTTTTTTCATATCCTTGTCACTCTTCTTCTTCTTTTCTTTTCTTTTCTTTTTAACTATTTTTTTTCATACCCATTTAAATCTTAAATCCTAAATCCTAACTCCACAATTTTAAATCTTAATCTAAAAACTAAATCTTATACTAATTCTAAATTCTAATATTAACCGTAAATCCTAATCCTAAATATGTAAAAGTGCGGATATGTAATTATTCTTCATTCTTAGTAGTCAAAAACAGCGAATTTTTGACGCAACATGTTTCAACTTTTTTTTTTTAAACCTTCTAATTTACGTTTGTCCTATGGTAGTCCAAACGATGAGTTTTACGTACTTTGCTTTTTCTCTTTAAATTTCAACAAGCTTATCCCGGAGATGTTTTTTATTTGCATTCACGCCTTTTGGAAAGAGCTGCTAAATCAAGTTCTCATTTAGGTGAAGGAAGTATGACTGCTTTACTAATAGTTGAGACTTAATCGGGAGATGTTTCGCCTTATATTCCTACTAATTTAATTTCCATTACAGATGGACAAATATTCTTATCCGCGGATCTGTTCAATGCTGGAATCAGACCTGCTATTAATGTGGGTATTTCTGTTTCCAGAGTAGGATCTACGGCGCAAATTAAAGCTATGAAACAAGTAGCCGGCAAATTAAAATTGGAATTGGCACAATTCGCAGAATTATAAGCCTTTGCACAATTTGCCTCTGATCTCGATAAAGCTACTTAGAATCAATTGGCAAGAGGTCAACGATTATGTGAGTTGCTCAAACAATCTCAATCAGCCCCTCTAGCGGTGGAATAATAGATAATCACTATTTATACCGGAACGAATGGTTATCTTGATTCATTAGAAATTGGATAGGTAAGAAAATTTCTCGTTGAGTTACGGACTTACTTAAAAACGAATAAACCTCAGTTCTTTTATTTATTTATTTTTAATTTTGTTATTTTATAATTCAGAATATTTTATGCATATATATAATTAAATGTAACCTTTTGACTTAAACTGCTATTAATCTTTTTTTTTTTTATATATAAATTAGGTGTGGAAGTCAAACTTTGTACCTGATAGTAGAGTGGGATGTAAAATTATCGCTAGAAATATATATGCTACCCCTTAGTATATCGTAAAAGAAAGAAGCCGTGGTTGTGTCTACTGGTAAATCACATCAATATCCAAGTCTCGCATATGGAAGTTCAAACTTCGAATTCCACCTTGTTGCCCTTGGGCACGAAGACGTTTAGTTCATAGATTAGAACCATTTTTTATTTACGTGTATTTTTTGTGAGAGAAAATACTGTAGCGAACCACGAACCATGATTCGAATCAGGGAACGAATCCCTCAACTAAACAACCTCTTATAGTTCCTATATGGAAATTTTGGATAATTGGGTCCCTATTTTGAATAGGTTGGGCACTTAGGCTCTTTAAACTTTTATTTTCTTTAAGATTATAATAAAATATTTAAAAACTTTAAGACATTAATTTTGAAAGTGTTTATGGTGGTGCCGTTGGAACTCCAAGTGGGTATTAGTTTGAGAATTGTGACAGGAAGCCTCACAATATTATGGGGTATGGAAGTCTTAAAGCTCATGATATGTAAATATTACTCCAACACTTGCAATATTTCCATGACTTAAGGATTCTATTGAAGAATAATCGAGACGGCTGTGTTTGGAGTTATTTTTATTTTTATTTTTCACGTTTTTTGAGAAAGAAAAAATAAAAACGAGAGAGAAATGACGTTTGAAACAATTAAAAACAAAAAACGGAAATAAAAATAACTTTTTAGTGTAGTGTAAAACTTGAAAGAAATAAAAAATGACTTTTAATTATTTTTCATTTTTTATTTCCGTTTTCTCATCTCTCGAGCAGAGAGACAGAGAGAGATATTAATGGATTTTTTTATACTGAAAAATTCTCTTGATAAAACTACCAAACGCATTTTTAAAAATGATTTATGCCTGAGATTAAAAACATTTTCATTTTCATTTTGATGCAAAAAATAAAATCATTTTGAAACGAGTTCCAAACGCATCCTAAATATTCACCTATGTTCTTGCCTTGGTTGTCTAGATGTTTATTAGTCACACAACTGATGAAAGGGGGACTTATTTAGACGACACAATTTATGAAACGTATCCAATATTAGTTGGCAAAGAGTAATTTCCTGATCTTAATCCGCATAATATTAAAATATTTTCATGACTCAAGAACTTTAAAGGAGAATGGTTCTTGGTTGAGAAAGAGACTAATTTTCATGTATGTTTTTGCCTGAGCTGTGCATATCTAAATATTTATAGTCACACAAGTGAAGAATGTATGTAGACAACAAAATATATGAAAAATATTCCCCAATTAATTGGTAGAGAGCAAATTTCTTATCTCAATCCGTATCTTCTTGAAATGTTCCATGATATTTCAAATTAATATTTTCCATTTTTGTATTTTATTCTAAATAAAAATCCAATCATGTTTGATTAGGCATAGACCACTACGAGTGACCAAAAGGCCAATAAATTATATCAATATTCTAGAGATATTAGTCACAAGTAAGCATATTTTATGGCATATTGACTTTAACCGATCCAACAAATAAAAAAAAAAGTTTAATCTATTAATGTCCAATTTATTTTACCGATTCGAATTTAGAATTTAAATTTTAGTACAGTAAAAAACTCTTAAAATAGTTACATCTAACTTTTTTACTATAATAAAAAATTTTCACATAAAATTATATCTCAACTCGAATTAAAAACTCGAATCAGTGAACTAAAGTCTTATTCATTTCACCGATTTGAGTTTTCAGCTCTAGATTTCAACAGTTAAAAACTCTCAAAAAATATCATATCTAACTTTTTCTGTTACAATTAAAAACTCTAAAAAAATATCATATCTTTATTTAAATTAAAAACTCTAAATAAATATCATATCTCTATTTAAATTAAAATTTTAAATCGGCATAAATATATGCCCCAGTTGTGCTTGAGAATCTCGCTTGCATTTATTTGTGAAACTGAAACCTCAAAAAATCTCTCGCACACACTCGATCTTTGTTGGCTTCCGTGTTACATTACTCTTAGTGCGCGCGTGGATCCCACGCAGCAATGTATTTGGTATTTCCCAAACCATTACCGTGTTCCAGACCCCACTCTAACATTTCTTCCAAAATCCACACTACACAAGTTCAGTCAATAGAATCTAGAGGAGAGGACGAAACATTATTTAAAACGATAGTTTCAAACCAACAAAATTGGAAAAGAAAAAGAAAGGGTCACATAGCGAAACAGTTCAGAGAAATTTCCCGGATTTCCCGGCTATCCAAACGGATTTCTTTCCAGTTAATTTTCGCTTTCTCACAGCTGTACCCTATTTTCTCTTCCCTTTCTCATCCATTCACCGTTCTTAAACTTCTCATCAATACTTTTTCCGTTTCCATCCGCAGGAACTTTCCCGGAAAATCCCCAATTCCCAACAGATTTTCCTCCTCCTCCGTCATTTCGACGCCGATTCCATCGTCATCGACGTCGACGTCGACGCGATCCTCCTCAACGATGAGTTTCGAACGACCGCGATTCTCTTCTCGCTCGTCATTTTCTCGGGAAGTTCCGTTTACCTAAAAAGAAAAATTCAATTTCCGACGAACAAAAAGCGACGAATAGAAAAGAGAAACAAACAAATTGAAATCTTCCGATGAATCGACAAGTCGTGGTGCGATCACCGCCGTTGAATCGACGGACGCCGCTGTTGCCGGAGAAATCGGCAGCGAACGGTCGTGATAGGCGGCGGATCGGCGAGGTCGCGGGAAGAACGGCGGCTGAGTGCACCGCCGTTTGTTGTTGCTGCCCTTGCACCGTCGTGAACCTTCTGGTGCTCGCTTTATACAAAGTTCCGGTGGGGATTTGCCGGCGGGCCTGGGCCAAGAGGCGTATGAGACGGCAGCTTTTGGCGAAGAGGAATGGCCTGCTTCAGCAGAGGCCCGCTGGGCCTGACGCTTGTCGGTCCACTGTGGAGGAGTTGGAGGCTGAGTTGAGGCGTGTAAAGGAGGGGAAGATCGACGGTGGTAATGGCGGTGGTGATGCGGCGTTCGGAGCCGTTGACTTTCCGGAGGAGGAAATGTGGGACCGGTTCTACAATACGGGGTTCTGGAGGAGTCCTTCGCAGAGAGAATCCTGCCCCTGATTGATTTGTTTGTACATAGTTGCCAACTCCTCTTTTTCTTTTTTCTTTTTTTTTAAAGAAATGAATGGAAAAGAAATCGTCGTTTAAAGAAATTTGTCGTTTTGGGTGAAAGCTCACGGAGAGAGCCCTGCACTCCCCCGCAGGTAACCTTGTTTTTCATAGGGAGAATTTTTTTTTTTTTTTTTTTTTTTTTTTTTTTTTTTTTTTTTTTTCTGGCTGGAATTTTTGTTGAGAGTTTATAAGATGGGGTTAGGCTCAGAGTGCACAACGAAGACAATTCACTAATGATGATCTACGAGACAAATTGTGAGTAAAAATGGCTTATAATCAAAATTTTAAGGACGCGAAAATCATAACAAAATTCATGAAATTTGGCTGTTAAAAGAATACATGTCTTACCGATAGGGTATTTTTAACATTTTATACCTACCTTAGAATTCTCATAAAAATGGAGAGAATTTATTCTCGGATTGAGTGATTTGCTCTGGAAGATAGGTACTCCCTTTTTTTTTAAAAAAATTACAAAACTAAAGATTATTTTGAAGTGGGGGTTAGAAGACTTCAGTTGGGAAATTCATTTTGTAAATTTGAACAACAATGATCTGAAAGAACTAGTGATTATTTTCAGATTTTTTAATCCTCATTTCTTTTTTATTTGTTTATTTGTTTATTTTATATCAGATTTTCTTTTTTGTTCAATTTTATATCATATTTTATGATTTGAATATATTCGTTTTGGAGTTACTATTCTAGTTTTCTTTGGTGGAAAGTGTGATTGATGAGTTTTGTAATTTCATATTTGGAGTTCATGACCTTTTTAACCAATCTAACATAACTATTTTATTATGCTTTCGTAAATTATGCAGATGAAGGGTCTTGCATTATTGCATAGGTGATTAAAGTACGGAAGAATGCTTTAATAATTTTCCGTTGTTTTTCATTGCATCTCTGTAGCAGTGTAGTAAGTACTACTCTTTTGAACTCTTTTTTTATTTTTAGTATACAATATGTAATTTGGGGTGCGTTCTTTTTACGATTTAAATCACAATGAAATTTTTTTTATTTGAGAGAAAATACTAACAAAAAAATTAAATTTAAATTTTTATTAGAGAAAAATATTGTAGAAAGAATTTGAGTTGTGAAAAAAATAAGGCATTAAATTCTTAGACTATGGTTGGAAAACAAAACCATAGTCCAAGAGTCCAAAGTATATATTGCATAAAACATAAAAAAAAAAAAAAGCCTTATTCAAATTTCTCCATCAAAGGGACGAAGCCAGAGAAGTTCTTCAAGGGAGACCTGAGTTAAACTAAAATTTTAGACTAAATTAAGTATAAAATAAAATATAATTATAAGTAAAAATTAAGAGGATAAACGAATTAATTTTGAGTATCTTGCATAAAATTTAGAATCAGAAAATTTTAGACGACGAAGTAATAAATTTTACATGGTATATAAATGAAGACTTTTAAAACAATTAATATAAATTTAGGCATAAAAATTTTAGGGGGAGGGATAAACAAGAAATATTTTATTTTATTTTTTAATTTTTTCTTCTTATCTTTTGTTTATTGTCTACTTTTGTTTTTCCCCTAATACTTTTTGAGAATTCATTTTGTGTTTTTTACAATATCCTTCTTTAAAATACTTTTTTTTCCTCACTTTCTTTTAATTAAATTAATTTCTTACAAATATCTCCCTACTTAAGGTTTTTTTTGTTTGGTCAAAAACTCTTGTACAACTTTAATTCTTTTTTGATGTGATTTTTTGAAATATTTTTTTCCTCTTACTTTAATTAATAGACTTAATTTTTAAGGAGTTATATATTTTGATGTGAGATCAAATTTACAAAGTTATACTATACGTGCTATGCACTGACTCAACTAATTTTTATAAAAGTCTATAATTTATCTAGTTTTTTCAAAAAAAAAAAGAGAGAATCTTTAATTTCTTGTCGTTTCTCACGTTCTTTATGGCTTATAATTTTTTATATCGTTCAATTCTTTAATTTCTCACATTTGCCTGCACCTTTTATTTCGTTGTCGTTTTCAAATATGTTTGTCGTTTAAATGCTTTTGTCGTTTTTATTATCTACGGTACCTATGTGGAGGGAGCTTGATCATATAACTCTTAAGAGACGTTTGGTTCATAGATTAGAATCAACAATTTTTTATTTACGTATATTTTTTGTGAGAGAAAACACTGTAGTGAATTATGAATCATAATTCAAATCATAGTTTAAATCTTTCAACCAAACATCCCTTAAATTCCTCCGATGGACAACTAAATTACCAACCAAATATGCCGAGACCAATATTTAATGAGATAACTATTGAGTTTATCTTTTAGAGTGTATGTGTACAAATTTTTATCTTTTATTATTGATTAATACCTAAAAAAAGAAATAAATACTTTTTAAAGTGTATGAGTCTTAGATTTCTATTTCTCACTCTTGATTAATATCATTTAGTCAAACAATTATATTAATTAAAAGGGTATTAATCAAGAATTAAGAGTAAAAATCTTAAACACTACATTTTTAGAGGGTAAAGTCTATAATTTACTCTTTTGTGATTAATATAGTTCTTTAAGTAAATGATATTAATCAAGAATAAGAAGTAAAAATTCAAGACTCATACATTCTAATAGATATTTATCTCATTTTCTCCAATTTAATTCATTAACCAAGGAGAATTATTATTCAACTCTTCGAAAAATTAGCTATCAATATATAACAAATAATAATAAGGAAGCAAAATCATTTATACGAACAACAAGATGGATCAGAACGTACTTTGAAGGTGTTGTTGTTTCACGCAGAAATCTCACTCGTTCGTCAGCCATTTGAGAGTTGCTAAGAAGAATTTAGACAAATATTGTTGGCCGTGTTTAGAATTGATCTCGTTTTTATTTTTTATGTTTTTAGAGAAAAAAAAATTAAAATATTTTCAAAACGGCGTTTGGTGCAATAAAGATAAAAAACGAAAATGAAAACGATTTTTTGGTTTAGTGTAAAAATGAGAGAGAAATGAAAAATAATTTTTAGTTGTTTTTAATTTTTATTTTGGTTTTCTCCTCTCTTGAGTAAATAGAGACATTAATGAGTTTTTTATACTAAAAATAATCTCTTGATAAAATTACTAACCGCATTTTTAAAAATGATTATGTATGAGATTGAAAATATTTTTAAGTGCAATAAAGAATCAGAATTTCATTTTATTCAATTGAATCCTTAATTAATTTGCACTTAATTTCTTAATGGGTTAAAAAAAAATCCCAAAATCTCCAAAATTGGGTTTAAAACAAACCCAAAATTGCAAAAATTAGCAATTATTTTCCTTATGGCCGCAGGTTATAACTTGCGGCCCTTTAGTTCTAATGCATAGGCCCTTGGGCCTGTGTTTCTCTTTTCTGTCACATGCTTGAACTGACCTGTGTCCTTTTTTTTTTGTTATGGGCCGAAGCCCATAATTTAGGAGAACCCTAGGGTCATGCGACCCTTCTTCTGCAGTGGTGGCCACCAGACTGCGGTCGGCCGGTCGCGATAATAACTGTCTGGCGCAGCCCAACGGCTTCGCTTGGGAATCCAGACGCCGGCGGCGGCAAGCTTGCCACTGGCAACAAATTTTTTTTTTTTAATCTTTTCCTCATGCGGCGGCCTTGGCTGCCGTTGGTCTACATCCCGCCGCGGCCACCAAGCCGCAGCTACCTCGTCGGCGCGGCCCAACGGCCATGCCCTTGATTCCTCAGCGCCGGCGGCCAAGGCTGCCGCCGGCCACAGCCTTCTCCGAAAAGAGAAGGCAACGAAGAAAATTTAGAGAATTTTATAATGTACTTTAACATTACCCTAGAAGTCAATGCTTTTCCATAATATTTCAAGAAAACATCCTCATCAGAATCTTCTCGAATACTCGCACCGAATCCACGATAAAAACCTCTAATAACATTTCATAAGGCAAAAAAAAAAAAAAAAAACACTAAATAATAATAAAAAATACAAAATCATGCATTATATGAATTTAATCCAATGATAAATAAAAATAAAAATAAAAACTGATGTTTTTCTCAAATTTTTGGAAAAAAAAACCCTAAATAATAAAAAAAATACAAAATCATGCATTATATGAATTTAATCCAATGATAAATAAAAAAAAATGATGTTTTTCTCAAATTTTTATCGAATGTACATTACGAATTTAATACAATGATGTGAGACTTGAAAACTGTAGCACATCATATCCTTCTAACAGTGCACGAAGTATCAACTATTTTGAGTAGTTTTGATTAATATTTTTTTTAAAATTAAAAACTATTTGAGTAGTTAATGTACCGTTCTTAAATGGTTACAAATTGTAGCATATTTTGTATTATTCCTTGCTGATTCTCCAAAAACGTACTATTCCGTGCTTTTCGTCTTTGTACATATTGCACGTGAGATCTGCGACATATCATGGCACCATTCCTTTGTGATATATAAAGGCCCGTTTGGATTGGCTTTAAAAAAAAAGATATTTTTGACTTATTTAGTTTAAAATTCACTTTTAAACATGTTTAGATCGACAACTTTAAAGTGTTTTTAGCTTTTTTAAACACTTTTAGAACAAATCATCTCTTTAGTGTTTATGAAAAGCTTTTTATTTACGTTTTTAACTTTTTATTTGTGAGCATCAAATTAAATATCTCATCTATATCATTTTATTACATTACTTTTTATAATAATAAGTGCTTTTGACTTTTTTATCCAAACAAATTCAAAAGCTTTTCTTAGATATAAAAATATTTTTTTATGCACTATCCAAATATTAAGGGGGCGTTTGGTATGCAGGAATCAGTAGGAATCATATTCCCGAGAAAGTGATGGAGGGTAATATGATTCCTATGAATAATACATTACTATGTTTGGTTCTATACATGAATCTTTCTCAAATTCTCAAGAATATGACATTACTGTGTTTGGTTGTGCATAGAAATGTTGTGAATTAAAAAAATATATATTATTTTTAAATAAATTACAATTAGCACTAATATTTTAAAAAGTACAAAATACACACAACAAAGTAGTTCATAAAATTATCGTATTTAAACTAAATAAGTAAGCTTAACATCATTTATCACCAAAAAAATAATAATAAAAAACTGATATGATAAATGATGTTTTTACACAATATTATCGTGTAAAAACTGAACCACATCAGTCACACACAAAAAAAAAATCACAAAACTCAAACCAGATCTAGTCCAAACAAATTCACATTCATCAGTCTTATTCTCCGGCCGAACCACGTCTTCTCCGGCGAAGTCTTCCTCTTCGGTCGAATCACGTCTTCTCCGGCCAACTTATGTTTATATTCTTTTACTACTTAAAAGTAAAAGTACAAGTAATTTCAAACGGACCTTAAATAAAAGTATACTAGCTTGCTAGGAAGGAAGTGCGATGGGCACATGACAGGTTACGTGAAACCATGGTATAATAAATTATTTTCAATACAAATAAAAGAGCACTTTTAAATAATTACAATAATATTTTCGAAATTGCAATGGGATAAGTGGATGAATATTCTCGACATCTTGTGTAAGAACTAGTAAATATAAACCCCCACCCCCCACCCCCACCCCCCTCAGCCTTAGCTAGCTCTGTCCCTGCATCAAACCGTTTAATTTCTCCTCTCACTTCTCCGTATGTGTTAGGTTTTAATTTGTAGCGTTTTCTGGCTTGCAAGTCTAATTTGCAAGAAACAATGGTCATTTGACCTATGCCCGAGTCAACAGTTATGTTATTGAAAAAAATAGAGAATTTATCTTTAAAAGTGTATGAGTTTGGACCTTTATCCTTTAAAAGTGTAATTATTTGACTAAAAAAATTATGAATTAAGAGTAGAGAATAAAAATCATGACTCATGTATTTTTAAAAAGTATTTATTAAGATTACCTTATACTATTCGATTAGAGAACCATATAAACTACACTTGCAGCGTCAAGACCATCTCTACTAGATCCCGACGCCTCTTTCTAAATAACATTTTAGTTTGAGAAAACTTTTTTTTTTCCATCTTGTAAATTCATAATTCCAACTAAGTCAATTAGATAGACTTCTTTTAAATTTTTTTTTTTTTTGAAGGAAGTTTCTTGTGATTTTTGTACATGCAATCTTTTTTTCTTCAAAAAGCGTGGCTAGAATTAATGCATTTTTAGCTACCCTCGTTATTAACATTTTTTTACTTAATCATAAATAAATATATATGTGAACGTTCGAGCCGTCTGACCCCCTCTCCTGTATCCAGTGGTCTGAGTGAAAATTCCGGTCAGGCCCGACGATAAAAAGGAGGGTCAGTACAACCTGATCTTAAAACACGAAAGGCCTAAAATCGTTCCGAACTAGAATTTTATAAGGAATTTTTAAAATTATATTTAAAAAGAGTGTTCGGGTCGAGCCGTTTTTAGGCTTAAAACTTGAATCAAGAATAACGTGCCTCGGGCCGTTTGACCCGCTCAAACTTGTAGCCCTAATCATATTAGCAAATTTTTTTTTTTTTTCGTCAACGATGCAGTTGACTAGAAAACTTGAAAAAGAAAAGAAAATAAAAAAATTATGGAAAGAAAAGGCCATTCGAGCCGGCAGTGAATGGCGGTTAAATTTTAGTGGAGTTGTCAAAGATATATTCTTGGAGAAAGCCACGTGGCGGCACCACAACGATCGGGAGACAAAAGCTAAGGCTCGCAAAAAGACTCCGTGGCTCAAGTCTTCGCCTCCCCAAACCCGAAAGTAAACAAAAAACCCAAACCTTACGACTTGACCATTGCTAAAGCCCCCACTCTCTCTCTCTCTCTCTCTCTCTACAACCTAGGGTTTCACCAGTCCCTGATTCTCTTCTTAATTCCGAATTCCGAATCGGATTGATCACGCACTCCGAGATCGGTTCTAGCCTCGATTCTTTTGCAAAACTTTCATGGAGGTAATTAATCTTCGAGTTTGCTTCAATTTCTGGCTGAATTTGATGTTTTTTTTTTCTGTTTCTGTTTTGGGAAATGTGCTGAATACTTGTTGAAGACTTCAATCGGTGCCTGTTTATTGTGAATTGCCCTAGTTATGGTTTTCCCCTTTGATCGTCTTATGGAGTGACCGGCGGGAGCTGAAAGTGAAATTATTACAAGTTCTTATTTATGTTTTTTTTTTTTACATTTTTTTTTTCCAAAACTTAATTTTGTGGATGAATATCGTAAGCTCTATGTGTCGGTGGGGTTTGTAAAATGCTTATCCTAATCAGTCTTCGTCCTGAATTTAGTTTTACTTTCGGTGGGAAGATGTGACATCACTAAGCGTAGTGGTCTTCACTGAAACCGGGAAACTGAACAACCCCCCAATCCAAACCAATCCGCACGGGTTGGTTTTGATTTTATACTGGTATGGGTTGTGAAATTCCAACCTATTCTTTTGGGTTGGTTTGTGGATTGAGCATTTTCCAAAACTAGCTGTGTGTATATATGCGTACACGTAAATTGTATTATATATATATATATATATATATGTTTGTACGTATCATTATATACCTACATTTTGCCTAACTGTTCACTGCCATGTATTATTGTATATATAACTGTAATGTATTAATTCATTGTCGAAACTGATTCGGCAATAAGCATTTTTTATGTGGTAAAACTTTGTTACGGTATGTTAAACGCTTATTTGTTATGGTACGTTAGTGCAGAAATGCTCTTTGAAGGGGCTCAAATTTAGAGGCATAAACTGCAAAACTAATATGGGAAAATCAATACTTTTGGTTTGGGTTCGGGGAGTTTTGGTTTGGTTTAGCTTTGGTAAAATCCCAAAACTGATTGTTTTGTCTCGGGGGTTTGATCCCAATCTGCAAAAACCAATCTGTGAATACTTCTAATTATGTATCCACTGGATATTAATATCCAATTGGTTTTGCTCTATTATATGTTTAGAACATCAGTCTGTATAGTCACACACTTTCCCATGTGTAAGATATTTGTATATAGATGAAAACATTGTAGGCAATTTGCAAATGCTAAGAATTTTATGTGAGATTTGATATACAGGTACCGGGGATGGAAGAGATCAAGAAGTCTGAGGCTCATTTGACATCAGCAGCAGCTTTTGTTGAGGGTGGCATCCAGGATGCTTGTGATGATGCTTGCAGTATATGCCTTGAAGCTTTCTGTGACAGTGACCCTTCAACGGTATGCATGTAAAATGAAACTCCTGGGTCTTCTTTCTTTGGTTTGGTATAGGATTTCCTTTTTAACTACTCAATTTGTCTCCGTGCAGGTGACTAGTTGCAAGCATGAGTTTCATCTTCAATGCATTCTTGAATGGTAGTGTTCTATGATTCTTACTTAAAAGTGTTTTCAGTTATGCAACTGAAATGCACGCAACTTGAAGGAGAATCTTATATCAATTCTATCAATACTCTGTTCTAGAGTGTTTTAAGATCGATTAGAAATTTTTATCGGATGACTCAAGCTGCAAATGCTTATACTTTTTTAGGTGCCAAAGAAGCTCCCAATGCCCTATGTGTTGGCAACCCATCAGCCTGAAGGATCCCACCAGGTTTTTTTTTTTTTTTCCCTATGCCTATTATTTTTCATTTTTGTTCTGTTCCGTTCTGGTTTTTTTTTTTTTTTTTTTTTTTTTGTCTTCCCATTTCTAGTTACTTCTCGTGAAGACTTTTCGCTAAATTGATGGCACATCTTTACATTTGCAGCCAAGAGCTACTGGAGGCTGTAGAGCGGGAGAGGAGTTTTAGGTTTAATCCATCCAGAAATGCTACAATATTTCATCATCCGACTCTTGGGGATTTTGAATTGCAGCATGTTAGTAATCTGAGTAGTCATTTCTTTGGTTAATAAGTCTTATAAGCTGGACTTATCTGAATGGGATTGTACTAAAAGGATATATTTCAACTCTTATATTTCAGTTACCAGTGGGTGCTAGTGATGCTGAACTAGAGGAACGTATTATTCAGCACTTAGCTGCTGCCGCTGCAATGGGTCGAGCACGCCACATTTCTAGGAGGGAAGGCCAGAGAAATAGGGCATCAGCTCAGGGTCGACCTCAGTTTCTTGTATTTTCGACCCATCCTAATGCACCATCTGCCACTCCTGCTTCTTCCTCCCCAGATCAGAGTGGGGAAGCTGAGCCAATTCCTGCAATTACAGTAGCTTTACCATATCCTTCAAACGCAGGTGAAGAATCATCACAACAGACTGCTTCAAGTTCACTTCCTTCTAGCCAAGCTGAACCTGTATCAGCCTCAGCATCTGGATCAAGTGTTGTTGCCAACCAACAGGGATCTTCCCTGAGTAATAGGTATATTCTTCAGGTTAATTTCTCTATATGTGTATAAAATCTTGCATTTGACTTTCAATTGAATGTTATTTGTATTTATTTAGCCACACTTATTTTTATCATTTTATATTAGGAGGTCATCGAGTCAGTCATCTCCAAGTAGTCAGGATAGAGCTGGACCATCAGATTTCCAATCCTTTTCAGAATCTCTAAAGTCTCGATTCAATGCAGTATCAATGAGGTATTAATCATGGTGAATACATTACATATTCGTGCAAACAATAGAAATCTGCTTAATTCTTAACTTCAGGTTTTATTATTGTTTTTGCTAGATATAAGGAGTCAATTTCAAAGAGCACAAGAGGTTGGAAGGAGAGATTGTTCTCTCGCAACACCTCCATGTCAGATCTTGGTTCTGAAGTTAAAAGGGAAGTTAATGCAGGAATTGCAACTGTATCACGAATGATGGAGCGTCTGGAAACCAGGGATAATAGTAGAACCAGTGATGCATCCGTATCAAATAGTTTAGATAGTGCAGCTCCAGCATCAGACAACCGACAGACATCAGATACTGATGGTGACAATTCTTTGGGTGATACAAATGTAAAGGCGTCATGTGCTGCAGGTTCTAGTTCAAATTAAGCTTATTCGGCAATTGAATCAGCTCAGCGCATTTCTCATTTAGAGGTAAGTTTGAACTCGGGTTTGTCTGTTACATAAATATTTTTGTTGTCTCCTTGTTCTCCCAATCTAATTGGGTAGTCTCCTGATATTAGTTGTATGTTTTAATAATAATAATAATAATAATTATTGTTATTATTATTATTATTATTATTATTTTTCTTTCCCTCCTAATTCAGTGTTCCCTTTCCTATGTTTTTAGTATTCGAATATTTAGATTGATTTCTTTTTACTGCGTGTATACTAAATATGTTGAAATGGTTGTAGGCATTTTTGCATTCGTCTCTACTACCCAAAACATCTTTTCATCAATCATTTTGAAATTTCTATTGTCCTTCTGCCTATTCCTTTGAATTTAGAGTTTTTGAAGTTAGGAACGGTTGAAATCAGCAACAGATATGGAAAGTGAGATTTCCACTGTCATCTATGTGTTAGTTTGTCTGTTCTGTATCTCATGTATTTGATCTAATTCATAAGAATTGTAGATCTTGTGATCCCTACTTGAATTTTCAAATTTCTCTTGTTTGTATTCTGAGTTGTATGTGGTTCCTAATGACAAGTGATGACCTTAACAGAGCTTGTTGAATCACGCTTGCTTCTGATTAGCCATTTTCTTGGAAGGCCAAGGCCTTTAGGTTTTAAAATATGAATCTACAGATTTCAAATTTTGTGAAAATGGAATTTTGAACTTGTGCTTAAAACTTCTTTTCATTTGAAAACCCTTCTACTGTAACTTTTCTAAGACAAGCTTGGAGCAGGGAGTCATAGCACAAGCACAGTTGAAAGACGCATGAGACCAAAGTTTTACCTTGCGATAATCTTGAAGCTGGCAAGGCTAAAGCAGTGGCCTGTCTTAGCTTGTTAAATGCTATTTCTTAGTTGACTAATGCTTCCATAAGGGAGATCTAGAGAAGGTCTCTCTGGTTCTAGGTGGTGATCAATTGATTGAATTCTTGTCTAAGTTGAACATGATGTCCAATACCTTATTGGCCCTTCAGTGGCAGACACTTGACCTGCTCAAGTATGCCCTTTTCTCTGTTACGATGTTTCCTCCATTATATTCAGCTCCTCCAACATTATGGATTTGATAAAGAGAAGCATAGAGAAAGTTGAAACATGAAGTTTGCTTTAGTTATAGCAATCATGGTGTGCTGTTGGCAGACTTTTAGAAGTTCATATTCCTCAATATATTTTGTATACGAGCTTCCAGTAAAGTCTATCATAACCCCCCATGAATTTGTGCAAGGATTAACCGATTAACTAGTTCTTGATTCGGGCTCTTTTTTGGCAAGCTCTAATGATGTTGTGTTCTCTATGTGTTGATCTGGCCATGGTTTGACCACTTGCCAATTATAGTAGGAAACACTATGCAATTCATTACCTGAATTCTTAGTAGCAAATGGTTCTAACATTTGCTATCCCTGTTTCCCATCCCTTTTTCGGAGATGGCTCGTGTTACTCATTAGCTTCATTTGTTTTGCTTGTTATGGGTCATTTTTTATGCCCGTCGTATCGAACTGCTTATTTTCACCAGCTACTCAGATAGCACATTATACCAAGGGAATGAGATAATAGTTGGTCCGAATTCTACTGGGTCTTGCAATAATTTGGAGACATATTCTTAGACTTGACATAGGAAGAGAGTAAACAAAGAGTTGTATAAAAGTATATGAACTGCTAATCTAGGCTTTGAATATAAAAGTATATGAACTGCTAATCTAGGCATGGTAATTCAAATCTCGTGCATTTGAAGCGCTTGCTATTTTTGTCCAGATTATGTCAACCATTATTTATCCAAGCATATGTTGCCCGAGAAAAATCGGTTTAAGTTGTCTGATTTTTGATAATTATTGTTTGCAATTTGAAGTTTGGTGGAAGTTGTGACCTCATAGAAATTTGGATTCCTTTTATTTCAGGTGGAATCTTATTGTTCTTTTTTTCCCAGTAATGAGATGCTGCGATATGATGCTTTGCCATCCGTCTCACTCACACCAGTGGATAAATCATAAAATGCTTTTACAATTAGAAAAAGCTAATTGGTGGTGTGATTGTCAATAAGAGAACTGTGGAAAGAAAAGTTCATCACTCAACGAAGAAACCAGTTGTAAATCAGTTTGTATCAAATAACTTATTTATGAATATATTACTGAGCAGTGCTTGCTAATGTAGTAGTTCTAAAGATGTTAAAAATGTTCAATTATATTTGAAGTTTAATATTAATGTAGAAGAATTCCTTCTATGGGGCTTTTCATGAGAAAGCCATCTCTAATGGCGCCGTTTTGGCTAACCAGATTCATCAAACAAAAGAAACTAGAACGAGGAAAAAATGAAACTAAAAAATGAAATTTAAGATATTGTAAAAACGGGTATTAAGTTATAGCCTAAAAAATGAAAATGGAAAATGTGAATAATATGTAATATTAAATTATTAATGTTACTTTTGCAAAGTTTTTACACTTTTTTCCTATTTTTATGTTCCCCCTTATATTTTACTTTTATATCAATTGAATAATTAATTATCACAAAAGCAACAAATTCTGGTAATTTTCATTTCATATGATTATTAGGATTAGGATTACTTTATCTTAAAAAAATTGTATAAAAGACAATGCAAAGAGTTTCTCTGATAAAATTAAAAATAATGAATTATTAATAATTTTTTTATTTTTTAACCGTCAGGTTTATATAAAAAATTGTTTGTTTTACTTATTTTTTTAATTTAAAATAATTTTAACCTAATTTAATGGTCAGACCAAGAAACTCTCCGCAAATAAACATTATTTTTGTACAAATTGAGTAACTATGCTTGCTTGGTCATGAGAAAGCCAAAACCTAGTGACTAGTGAGTCACAAATTTGCCTGTTTTAATGATAAGGAATTTAGGTCTGACTTTCTGTACCGAATTACGTGCCCTTTTGTTCCATTTTGTTTCCGAAAATTATTATAAATCACAAACAGGAAAGTTTCTGACTGAATTTTGAGAGGTTCCTTCTTTTTTTTTTTAACGGAAAAATTTTGAGAGCTTTTATAGAAAGTTAAAAAAATAAAAAAATATATATGTTCTACAATTAGAAATTAAGTCCTACAAGTAGGAGGTAAGTAGGAGGCCTACCGAAGAAATTCCTTTAAAAAAAAAAAGATTTCTCATGTTTATATTCTTTTTTTCTTTTTCTGGTGGTCCACATTTATATTCTTTTGTTCACGATAACTTATACCCCAAGCATAGGCCCCTTTTTTTTTCCACAAATTCTGCATGCCAATTTATGGCATTGATTCTAGGTTCTGCTTTCTTCAATCTTTGAGTTTTCTATAAGAGAGAGAGAAATGTGGAGGAGAAAGAAATCTTTGACTTGTGAAAAGAAATGCGGAGGAGAAAGATATCATTGAGTTGTTGAATTGTATGAATTGGGTTTTCACCCCCTGTTTCCTCTTGAAAAAAAAAAAAAATGGCATTGTATCACATAAATTCAGTATTTCAGTTGATATATAATTGTTTTTTGTTCAATATGCAAAGGGAATTGGAGAGAAAACATCAAAGGTTAGGTTGATTTAAGGAAAGGAGATTTCTAGGTCTTGAAAAATGAAACACAAATAATCCCGTATTTTTTATTTATTAAATCTTAATTAAAAACTATATATTTTGTATATTTTTCATTAAATACAACGGTCATAAGTACTACTGATAAAAACATTATAGTAAATAAGACTCTTGAAGGAAAAGAAAATTAAAATCCAAAAAAGAAAGTCAGATTTTACACATATATGTTTTGCGAATAAGCTAAATTAAGTGGACGTTTAGTTTATGAATTCAGAATCATGATTCAGAACTATTCTCAGTTTACGCGTATTTTTTATGAAAAAAAATACTGTAATAAACTACGAATCATAATTCGAATCAGGACATGAATCTACCAACCAAACATGCTCTAAATGATGCTACCGACACATTCGAACTCTAGGGAGTGATGACTGAATATTATCAAATGTCACATAGTCAGATGTAGTGCTAAACTCACCTGTGGTCTCTCTCGTAAGTGCCACCCAAGTCCAACCCAACCCAACCCAAACCCATGGAACAAAAGTATCCTATGCCTGTACTGTTGTACACACACTCACCAAACTCAATTGAATGACAACAAAACTGTAGTTAAGGAATGAATACCCGGCAGGAGAAACGTCTCCCTCGCTATCTCCACTTTGTTTACACATCTCTACCTACATTAATTTATTGTTTTCTTCCCTTTTGGAAAAAAAAAAAAAAAAGACATCTTCCCTTTTGGAGGGGGAAAAAAAAAGACCAATACCAAAGTCGAGTGTGGTGCAACCTATACATATCATTAAGTGTAAAGGATGCAGAATTCTATGGTAGGGTTGTTAGGGAATTTTCAATAATAATAATAAAGCATATTTTCTTGGATACTAATTTTGAATATACGAAACAAAATAACATAATAATTATATAGGATTATTCTTGTTGGTGGTCAAAATTCGCTAACAAGAATTCTTGAAAACTCTTAGCTCACTATAAAATTCATGAATTTAGCTGATGGAGAACAAAAACACAATTAAATGCTGAAAAATAAATGAACACTAAAGAATTTAGAGTATTTTACCCTCAAAATGAGGGCGTTTTTTCACCATAGAGAATAAGCATTTACATGTGCTAGTCTTGAATGCTCAGAATGAGATGTAGAGTTTATAACTTCCTATATATATATATATATTCTCATAGATAATTACTTTTAAATAAATTGCAAAATAGAGGAATTATCTATTTTTCCATTTTCACATTTATCTCTTCTAAATACCTGAGAATAATCACTTAAAATATCCCTTAATATATGGGTTCGAAATATAAATATAACTTCCTTACCAAGATTCTTTTTCTCATCCCGGATTCCCTCTTCTGATATTGCGTCGTCCTCTAGAACCCTCAGCGTCCGGTCTAGTCCCCATAGGCCTTAGTGGGCTTGGTTAAACTTATTGGAGAGATTTTTACAACTATCCCTAAAATGGCACAACAGATTATTATTAAACTCCTAAATATTATTCCTTTTATTTCTATCCCTTTAGACTAGATCTAATCAAACATTAGTCAAAGGCCCAATACGTAGAACACCAAAATACCCTCAAAATAAATTGCTAATTTACAAAATGCCATTGCCTCCGATTGCCGACCGACAGGCTCTCTGGCAGCCAGCTATAGTCTGCTAGACTACCCATAGTCTGTCAAGCTATGAGTACGACCCATAATCAACCAGATTAAGATAATTTGCACAAATGATTCCAAACCCTTTTAAAATGTGACCGTTTAGTCCTCAATCTCTTTTTTTTTTGGCAAATCGACCCTCAACCTCTTTAAACGGGTGCAATTTGGTCATTTCCATCAAAATTTTAACAGATTCCCGAATGTGAGCATCACGTGCCCTTTTTCCTAATTAAAAAAAAAAATACAATCAAAACCTCACACCCATGACCTTCTTCCTCTCCACCTCCGCCAAGCCCCATCCCCAACCAGCCCAGACCCGACGAGCCCCATCCTTGTCATCCTCACGCAAAGGCAGAGAACCATTTCGAGCCACTCCCTTTAGAAATAGAAAAGAACTACTATTGTGGTCTGAGGGTGCGGTCAAAGATGCAAAGCTTGTGAAATTCCCAACCTCTTGTCCACATAACATTCCTACTTGAGCCTACACATGGCCATTATACATATTCTATCTGAGATTAAAATCAAAATCCTTTCCAGCCTTATCCCAAAGCTCAACCCATTAGTCAGTGAGAATTGAACAAAAAATATAATAGAGCAAATTTATGGTTAACAACCCGTCAATTGCAAAAAAAAAAAAAAAAAAAAAAATCAAAGAAAATAAAATACAGCAAAATATTAAATATTAAATAAAGAACAAAAAATATCAAATACCCATAAAGCAATAAAGTAATCCAATATTTTCTTTTCAATTCTCAAGAAAAATACAAACTTTTCATGTATAGATAAACAGATTATCATCTAACAACATGATTCTAGATTACCAGAAGACAGACACAAATCAGAAGCTGAAACAAGAAGCAAATCGTGTAACCTTTGGGGTTACTGATTTTCAAAGAATATCACAAAGATAAAATCTTTAATCAATCGCAAGAAAGAACAACCAAGATCGATCCGTACCTGATCTAGACAAACCTAAATCAGACATAATCGTTCAGATCAAGAACCAAAATCAATGAAACTATAATCAAATGCAACAGATCTAAACGTTTCGGAGAAGAAAAAAAAAGTTACCTTTGGGGTTTGAGGAACATCCCAACCCAATCTAGCCCTCTTTTGCGGCCGGCGATCGAGGTGAGTGTGGGGAAACTCCATTACGCATATCATACAGTTTGATATTTTACCAAAATACCCTCTTTAATAAGATCACATGCCTTGCACATGATTAATTCTGTTAAAAATTTAACAGAATTTGACGGAAAGGATGAGATTGCACCTTTCTAAATAAGTTGGGGGTCTTTTGTCCAAAAAAAAAAAAATTGAGGACCAAACTGTCACCTTTAAAAAAGGTTAGGAACCATTTGTGCAAATTACCCGCCAAACTAGGACCCATAGTTTGCCATGCTATTTCGCAGGTCGGCGAGTCTCCAATTGCCGACCGATCAAAGTAAGTCAGACTATAACCCATAGTCTGACAAGTTACACCAGACGCCTGCAGACTATGACCCATAATTTGAAAAGTTACACCGACCGCATGCTATATTTTATTAGACTGACTCATAGTCTGATAAGTTACACCGGCCGCCAACCATAGTCTGTCAGACTATTACCCATAGTCTTTTAGACTATAATCGATAGTATGACAATTATAATCCATAGTCTGTCAGACTATAACCTATAGTTTGACATGTTAAAATCCATAGTCTGACAGATTGTTTACCTAAAACCAACATCAAAGATCATATTATCAAATTATAAACAAATTTTTTACCAAAAAAATTAAAAAAATTACTCTTACAAATCACATACATTCAGGGCCCGTTTAGTTCGTTGATTCGAGTTGAGATGTGACTTTATGTGAGAGCTTTTTACTGTAGCAAAAACGTTAAATGTGATTGTTTCTGAGAGCTTTTACTGTAATAAAACTTAAATTCTAAACTCGAATCAATGAAATGAACGGGGCCTCAATACTAAAACAAGATATTACTAGAAATTTATTTCACAAGCTTAAAAACAAAACTCCAACAATAA